CTCAGCAAACATTGAACTACCGGGAGAATTCCGGCCTAGTGCAGGCAAGTGTGAGAAAGTGTCGATGCCGGTGTATTGGTGATGTCCGATGATTTCTCTATGCTAAGTTACCATCAGTTGAAAATACGATGATGGCCTTGTGATGGTATGATGTATAGAACGAGTTGAGCACTAACGAGTTGTGGCCCCTTGCTGGCCAATATCCTGTTCACTACTCGTCCCACTGGGGGATTTTCTGGGAACGTCTACATCAACAATCAGCTGATCATTTGAATAATTATTATATGTCACTCTAGTGATAGCGTATGTTTCGTTTTTCTCTGGTTTGTTGTCATATCATTGTGCTCATCACTTTCCCTGGTCGTTATAATGGCAGTTATGGTGGCAGGAGTATTCTCAATTGATAATATAGAAGATGGATTCTTCAATGATGATAATATGTATTGAGTAAGTATCAATCTACCTATCTAGTGTTCCAAATTTTGTTATGAAATGCATGTGTTTGTGATGGTAATAATTGTAGTGGCTCCTATACCTCTCCAGAAGCGTAACTATCATGGACTGCTTGGTTCGTTACTATCAGAAGTAATATTTGGTTATGGAAACCTGTCTCTATCATTGAAGTGAATAACAATAAGGCCTGTGCTTCCATATGTAAGTATATATCACGTAATCAGACTATATATTGATCAAGTTATGAACTCATGTAACAGAGTATTTTGTTTCTCATACTTCTATGAAGAAAGAATTCTGACATCAAGAAAGGCCACTTCATGATAACTTATGAAGAATTTTATATTTCAGAAGTACCTACCTTGCAACGAAGAATCTATTTTGGAGGAATGCTTCCCAAATAAGATGAAGATGTAGATATACCAGCCGGTAAGCAGTCACTCTGAGGAGTTTTATCTTGGAAGAAGAGAGAGGTTAAGAAGATATCATTGTGTCATTCATAAATTGTTTCCTTGAAATCTGGTATGTGTCTATTTCATATAATATGATGATAAACATCAAAAAATATATTGAGTTACTAGAACTTCCAGATCAATTGGACCCCTGAAACCCCTACCCTTCCCTCTACCCCTCCTCCTACCCCTCCCCCTACCTCGTTAATATGTAACCAATGTCGTTAATTGGCCATTACAGTCCCATCATTTCTGTTTATGCTGGGCTTGCTATGGGCAACTCAATGTGTCGATTATGTTGTACTCATATCAAAATGTTTGCTGGGTAGGTACTCGTGGGATGCACAAGGTACTATTCTTTCTACAACTACTGGTTATTGTCATCACATTGTTATTATTTTATTTTCTACAGAAAATGAAAATCAAGTTAATCAGGTGTTCAGATCAGTATTTTGCCTGATTTGACAAAATTTCCGTTGTCTTGTATAGGGAGGTTATTAGTTCTTGAAAATACTTACATTGGCAAATAATTCCAAAGCTTCGCCGTTCTATGGACGAACGAGTTTCGGTAGAGTGTAGTTCAACATATTTCAAAGTTAACAAAGAAAGAATGTGCTGACTGGGCCTGTCGAGTTCGTCTGACTGGTATTACTTGTGATTGAATTATAGCAGAGATTTCTGTGGAACATTTCCCTTATTATCAGATACTTAGTTATAATTATATTATAATGAATGGAAAGGGCAAAATTTGTTATTCCGACAAAAAATGTATAAGGTGAGCGAATATTTGTTTTTTGAATATCGTCCAAGTTTATCAGTCTTCGATCATTCAGTGTATTTTTGACATTTCGGAAACATTTTTAGTTGACTTCATTAAAAAATATTCATTACATTTGCTATTCAATACAATTAGGTAGATTTCAACAAAAAAAAAATGATATTTCATTAAGAAAACCATCAGTGTTCTGCGACTGCCTTGTAAATGTATATATTATATTATTCATCAGGTCACATCAAATCAGTGGATGTACTAGATAATTTTGGGCCGATTTTGGGTTTTTCAAAATTTTAGAAATTAATTACTCTGATGCGTGAAAAAATTGTCCCCTTATTACTGATAGTGACGATACTGTTGACAACATTATCTTCGACGACGACTATACCACTGTTAAATACCAATAGAATTTGTTCGTTACATCTATAACTGTCGAACATAGATTCATGCTCATTTTTCATTGATTCAATGAAGAAAATCATCAAGTGATGTCTATCGTTCGTAATATCAATAACCGCCGATCATAGATCCATGCTAGCTGATTATTGATTCAATGTTCAGCTGTGATAAACTGAGTCTGTCCTTCGTAACTGGCACTTACATATTCATGCTCACTGTTAATTGATACAATGTACATCAACCATAAACCAATGTTTATCATCATAGATCCATGCTCGCTGTTTATTGATTCAATGTACAACAACCATGAACCAATGTAAATCCATTCGTAATATCAATCACCGGCAAACATAGATCGATGACCATTATTCGTTGATTCAACGTACTGCAGTCATAACTCAATCAACAAGAAAATTTACGTACGACCGTTCATTGTATTAATGAAACCCGTCATCGGCCCAAAATTAATGTTGACGTTCACTGATTTGATGTACTTTTTTATTAATATAACGTACCTTTTTCGTTCTGTGTATGATCAACCCCTTTCCATATTTTTTTGTAATTGTTCCTGACTGCTTTTATTTTACTTTTTTTACTCTCATAACTAAAATGGCATTCATCATACGGATATTATGTACCACGCTAAATGATCGATTAATCACGGATTGTCGATCTGTGATTTATTCAAAATATTAAACACGTTACCATGGCAACACGATTTCTTAAACACATTACCATGGCAACACAGTTCATTAAACACAGCTTCAGCTATTTGAGACATGTCTGGCCTGTGAATTGTATTAACTGTCACCTGATATTTTCGAAATCTGTATAAGAATTATTCCAACAATTTTCGTTTGTATCAGAATTCTTCATCAAAAATATATGGGAAATGTAGACGAAAGTGAAATCGAAGAGAATGTCCTGGAACTTGCATATCTCCAAGAAGTGTAAAAATGAAGCATCCATCTTTGAGAACAATTTATTTATTCTGCGCTAAGCATGACAATAAACGTGAAACAAAGGTTAGTAAGCAATGGACTGGACACATCTACAACCAATATCACTTATACGTGTCTCGCTGGTCACATGCAGTTGCATGTATTATGTTCTCAATTCCCATTCCTTTCGAATTATTTTGTAGGTTAGCAGGAATAGCAGGTATGTTAACGTAATTTTCGGAGTTCGTAAAAAAAGCATAGTATGTAACGCGTTTATAAACTCTTCTAGACACTCGTTTATTAAACACTCGCTCCGCTCTGCTCCGCTCGTGCTTAAAATACTCGTTACTAAAATGACGTTTATAACACTTGTTACATAATATACTATTATGAGTTGAGTTGAGGTTCGAGTTATGTTGCATAATTCTGTGTACTTACTTACCATGTTAGATTATTCGAAATGTTTTCTATCAAGACATACACGAAACCAATTAGAAGCTACTAACAAGCGGTGTGATGGGAAAAAAATCAATATGGTGAATCAGGTTGAACTTTTTTATTATCGAAAATTTTGAGTACGATGAATCTACAATATTATTGAAGGAATACAAAAACTAAAACTATGTTATCACGATAAATAAATAAAATTACACTATTTCTATCCTAAACAAAGAGGAACAGTTTACTTTTACGCAGTCGATAGAAAAATAAGAATTCATGGACGATACTCACGTACTAGGAATGCTCATTTTCCGCTTTTTGAAACTCCATACCTGTAACTGGTACAGGTATAGATGTTTCCAATTCCAAATAAATGCATTAATTACAACTTGCGGCGTTTTTCCAAAGTAAACTGGTAGGTATTCCTTTCGGAAGAACAGAGTCGATAACTTCTGGTTTAACAAGAGAGTCAGGGCAGATGTTTTCTCACTAGTACAACTTCTCAATAGTCTACAGGGTGTTTCATAATTGAATGCTGATCCTAAAGGGTGATAATCCTTGGATGATTTTAAGAAAAATTCTTCATGTGAACATAGGTCCGTAACAGCTTCGTTTCTGAGATACAGTATGTTGAAATTTAACAAAAAAAACAGTTATTCCCCAATATCTCTGAAACCGCTCTGGCTTTTTTCTTCATTACAAATACTTAAAAATAGTTACCATAAAATTATAAAAATATTGCTCAGATCTTTTGGTTACCACAATTGTGAAATTATGACTAAGAGTAAAAATCGAATAGGGACAAGCAAATGAATGCATTTTATTTTCTAACTCAAAAACCGTTTGCCGGACGAAAAAAGACAAGGGACCATTTTTATGAGAAGATAGAGGATAATTACAAAAATAATATTCATTCGGAAAAAAGACAGTGGCGTATCATTATTTTGATGAAAAATATGACAGGGTATGTTAACAGGGACGCCACTGATGGAAATTAAGAAATCCTCCATCATGGTAAAAATGTATTTCTATTCATACTCGGCATGTATTGAAATTGAAGAAAAAAGCCAGAGCGGTTCCAGAGATATTGGGGAATAACTGATTTTTTTGTTAAATTTCAACATCCTGTATCTCAGAAACGAAGCTGTTACGGACCTATGTTCAGATGAAGAATTTTTCTTGAAATCATCCAAGGATTATCGCCCTTCAGGGTCAGCATTCAATTATGAAACACCCTGTATATCGTCAAGGAAATTAGAGACTGGCTAGTAATCTGGTGTTCACCATGTATTTAATCTAGCTTTATACATTGACTAAGAGAATATGACCGAATCAAGAGTTTATTTGAGCAAAACTTAACACCCAGGGCAAATTTCAAAATGAACTATCATCTATTCGCGGTAATCAAGGTCATCATCTGACGTTGCGATGACATGAGAACTATGTAAAAACTAGCGTTCCTTGATGTAAATTGACGTATTTGTCATCTTATGACAAATACGTCAATTTACATCAAGGGACCCTAGGAAAAACATCTCCAACTTCCATTTTAAGAAAGTAGTTAGGAATAAATTGACCGTTGTTTTCATGAAGTTACAACGTCAGATGATGACCCTGGCTACCGCAAATTGAAATTATCTTCATCTTTTTAACACCGCTGTGCAAACATTCCCAACGTAAAACCTGCCTTTCTCATTGGGTATAGTGAACGGCCAGGGCACACTCGCTGCTTGGAGCAATTCCCTGCCACCTGGCTGGATGCAGTCAAGCAACACGAGACGACCGTCCAAACGCAGTTGCTTATCATTGGTTATAGTTCAAGGTGACGATATAGCAATTAGTGATTTGATTCCATTGCAAAAACTTGAGGTTTCTATAGAACATTCAAATTTGAGACCGTATGAAATTGGAATGGGATCAAAATCAACTGTTCTTTTCGAAGTTCTGGGAAATTCTTACGAATATGCCTATTTTGAGAGTTTGTTTTGAATAAACTTTTGGCACAAGTTATACCAATTAGGGAAAGTCGTCTGTCCCTCACCAACGTGGCCATTATTTATCTTTCTCAAAGCAAAATCAATATCCTTCTTATATATGACAATCAATTTGAATCAAATGCAAGTTTGTATAGAACGATCAAATTTGTGACATTTAGGTAAGAAATTGGAATGAAAACAACTGTTCTCTAGAAAGATTTGGGGATTCCAAATAACAGAGCCTAATTTGAGCGTTCTAAAATAAACTCTCGACAGATAGCGAAAGTTACATGACCCTCTTCAAAGATGCAATGTTTCATCATCTTCAAAACAACCTGACGCTTAAGTCAAATTTCACAATAAATAAGCTTCTATTCAAAGCTTCATTCAACTTCTCGAAGTTCACTGTGCAAATGTTCGGAACGTTGAAAGTGTGCCCTTATAATTGGTTATAGTAGTTGAGAGCGGATGATATGGCTGCCCTGGCAAAATCGCTATCGCAAGGGCTGCTGTCCCAGAACGGGCCAGGACACCCTCGCTGCTCGAAGCAATTCTCAGCAACCTGGCTGGATGCTGCTGAGCAACACGAGACGACCGCCCAAACGCAGTTGCTGGGTCCTGAAAATTCAGGTCGTGGCGTGGTGGTGGTGGTGCTGGTAGTGGTGGTGGTTATCCTACGCCCTGTAGATTGCTGTGCACCAGGTCGTACAGTACTGAAAAAATAAAATTTTCAGAAATGGAATGGGGGTGGGAGGAACATATCATATTTCAGAAGAACAATTCTGTCAACTCCGAAATAAACTATTATTCAAGAATGTAAAGAATTTCATAAACGATAGGATTATCCCAAAAGTCTGTATCATCCCAGGCAACCAGATGACGTTCCAGTGACGTCTTTTTCACGTCACTTGAATGACCAAGGTGACGTCAGTAGTTGACGTCGCATTGACGTGATAATGACGTGAATAGGTCACAGCCCAATGACGTCATATTACTCACGTCGTATTGACGTCATTCACTCACCAAACTGTGACGTCCGACTGACGTCATAATGACGTCAAAATGACGATTGAATTTGGCGATGATACGTAAAAAAAGATCCCTTTAACATGGTGTGATAAACACCACTAGTCTCTGATAGCATTATATCATATTGATTATTCATTGTTGAGTCTGCTTGGTGGATCCCTCCTGTGTCATGTTCATTCAATCGCCTATTCAGCAGCGCTATCCTTCAGTACGCATCTCCATCAGAATGCCATCAGTTACGCGTATATGTATAAAAAATTATGTAGTTTGTGTCGGCGAGATGTAAGCAAACAAGAATAGTTTGATAGCAATGGAAAGGATGTTGGCGAATTTGGCTTCACTCTGTTGAATAATGTATATTGATGCATTCTTTTTCACCAAACAAAAATCGCAATAGCAAATTATTGAAAAATTTCCTAAATGACGCAGCTCACCAAATTGGTACGTCACACCGACGTGATTTTTAGACGTCATAGATACGTCACTGCAACGTCATAAGAGTAACGGTTTTAATATAGGTATACATGAACAATCATTTCTATACATACATAGCTTGTTGGTTTCCGAGATATACAGTGTGTCAAAGTTTATTAGAGAAAGGTTTTTCTACTACTTTTCGGGTATATTAATAATTAGAATAAAACTTGCATTTGCTATCATGAGTAAAACTTCTGTTTCACATGATAATATATAAGTATCCATGGTTTGGAGGTCTGGGAAAAATTGACGTCGACAGGACGTCCCTGCAACGTCATGAAACTGAGGTCTTCTTTTACCCATCTAAGTGACGTTCACTCGACGTCGAAACAATGACGTGATTATCACGTCATAGAAAGTACGTCATAGTGACGTCATAAATTGGTGTGTGACGTCTCTGACGAAAAATCACCAATTTGGGACGTCACAGTGACGTGATCATTCGTCATCTGGTTGCCTGGGATACGACATGTTTTGCTAACACAGTAGCCTTCTCAGGTGAAATATTGATACAATAAACCAAAATTGCATTGCCTTGCCGTACATTTACATCGTATTATTTCCCAACCTGAAGAATAGGCGAGTGGACTATGGACAAACAAATTCGACATTGGTGAATTATTGAATTGATAGTATGTATCGGCAGCAGCTTTCTTCATTTAGATGACATCCTGTATACTTCTTCAGTCTATCTCATTTGCCTTGAAATTATTTTCAAAAAATCTATCATAAAAGTGAGAACAACTCTCCGAAAATCCGGTTTTTCTAACAATTCTAGTGGTTTGATCTTGCAATAGATTCTGTAGCAACTTCACATGGTGCGATGACAACCTCTTCTACACGCTTTGATCGCCAGAAAACTTCTCAATCGGTTTCCTGCTTCGAGATTTTCTTGCTCGTCGAAACAAGATTTTTTATTATCACTTGATGTCATAATTGTTGCCAGGGCATAAGGGAATTGAAGGCAATGAAACAGCTGACGCTCTTGCTAGGCAAGGGTCTTCGGCGTTGTTTATGGGACCGGAACCTGTGTTCGGTATCCCCAAAACCTCAATACGCGGCTGGCTAGCAAGGTGGATGCAAGAAAGACATCAGGCATACTGGAACAATGTCCCAGGACAAAGACACAGTGAAGTGATGGTTGGAACACTGTCCAGAACAGTGAAAAACGGCATTCTGGGCCTGAACAGAAGTCAGATCAGACAAGTGACGGAATTAATAACCGGTCACTGCCCCTTGAGGGAACTATACAGACGAACCCATATGCAGAACCCATATGCAGACTATGCAATGATGAGGAGGAAACTGCCACCCATGTAATATTGGAGTGCGAAGCACTAGCGCGTTGGAGATACAACCTTCTGGGAGCATTAAACTCTCAAGTTGCTTTTCAAACGAATGATTTGGTGAAGAGGCTGCTAAACCTTATCAAGGTAGCGAACCTGTTCACCTTAGTCAACGGCATAATCAGGAACATAATAGGCCCAAAGGCTGCAGTGTTTTGGGCTTCAAACCCTGACTGATCATTCTGCTATTGATCAATCAATCAATCACTTGTGGTATTACAAATGACGATATTTACCTAGGGATGGGAAACACGGCGCTCTCCTCCTCGCTATCCATGGACAACTGGTTGACGAAGGGCTCTTCGTCGTGGCTGCCGATGCTGTGCACCAGTGGGGGGAAGTCGGGCATATTGGGGGGCCGAGGGGGTCTGGTGGGGGTCCCTCCTGCCAAGGGGGCGTCCATCGCTCCGCCCCAAATTGGTCTATCGTCGTCGTCGTCACCGGCGAATCTATCGACCACCTTGAATAATATATGGAAGTTTATTAGTACATAGTGTTCATCATAATAGAATACAAAAATAACAGACTGAACAGTAGTTTGAAATACTAAAGAAATACCTATTTATAGATAGTCGAACTGAACATAAGTAGAAGAAAAATAGTGTGTTGATAAATCCACAAAAAATAGTATATTTCTTAATATGTGTTGTAAGAAGCATACTGATTCCATGAGTGTGAAGGGCAACATTAGTGAATGTATAATTATGTTTACAATTATTTCATCTTGAGGATTATGATCGTTCTAAAGCTATATTCATGACGAAACCTATGTTATATCAATCAATCAATCAAGAATGCATCAATATTAGTGAATTTTCATTAGATGAATGTCTTGCTCGAGATAGTCACAATTCGATCATGAAGTCGATCATCTTCCTAAAGATATCCTGAAATATGAGAATATGAGAACATTTATATTTTGATAGTCCTGATGATGTTGGAAAAACGTTAGGGGGCACGTATATTAAATATATGCAAATATGCCATCTTGAGGATTGTTATCATTTCAAAGCTACCAATATTCATAATGAAACATACATTGTGTATTTAAACAACACCGCGAAAATTCAAGGGGTGGTTCCTTGTGATGTTTTAGGAAATGAAGTTCATATAAACATGTGTCCTAACTCGCTTCGTTTTCGAGAAAAAGGGTAGTTTTATTCTATGGCAAATCTTTTCTCTTTTCATTTCTCAATTGTTTTTTCATCGAATCCAATAAAACGTTGTGGTTTTGTTGATAGTAATATGAAGCTTCTTCTAGTGCAATTAGATTCGAAATAATATTTCCAGTGGGGTCACAGTGGGTAAATTTATCGAAATTCACGGTGCATGTCATTGTACACCACCGGTTCCTCTGAGTTTCATATTTTTGTTAGATTGAACTATTGAAATAACAACTTTTTTACCGACTGTATGATTTTTGTATGAGGCTTAGTTTTTGGGGTAACAATGAGAATTCGATTTGACCCCAAATTTTAATGAAGATGTTTTCATGACTTCCATTGAGATAACTCAATAACCCCAATTAGAATCATTCTGAAATTTTGGGGCTTCCTTAGTCTCCATCCATACTGAATTTTGACACCATGAAAGCTTATAAATAAAAACAATTGATACTTTCAACTTCAACATCCTGTATCTCAAAAACGGAGCAAGTTAGGACACATGTTTATATGAACTTCATTTGCTAGAATGTCACATGGAATCACCCCTTGAATTTTTTCGGTGTTATTCAGATACACCTTGTATTGCTCGCAAATTATATCCTTCGGCGCAACGCTATATTAGAATAGCTCTAGGTGCATTATAGTACATTGATCATCAAGGGACAGAAATGAAAGATTTTTTCCAAGATGCGACTTGTAGCTCGAGGGCAAAGCTTGAGATATACAATGCACCGAACACCGAGGGAAAAATAGCATTCTGTCCTGATGTGTATATTATACTATCTTTTACGCTGACGAAAACACGAAAATTAGGAAAGAATGAGAATTTGGTCAAAGTGTTTTGTCATGATTAGTAGTAGTATAGTTTGTGGAATTCGTATCTTGACCAACATGCATCTTGTTGACAACCTATGGAGACAGCAAATATCAAACTGAAATTTATGAAAACAGCTTCGAAAATGGTTAACGGTTTTTGAACAAGAAGTCGAGGGAAAACCCCAAGAAACTATTGATACTGCATCTGCAGTGATTCTTAAATTGCTACCAGTGAGATCCAGAAATCTGTATTTTTTTTTATAGTTCTGGTTCCCACGAAAAGGGATATCCTGTAATGTTCAGAGAACATCGTGAGAACCAAGGCAAATAAGGTAGGAATTGGTGTTCTTCTTGGATTTCTGGAGGTTACATGCCTCGGGGAACACCACCCTTGGCAATGTGTTCCAGAGCCTCGCTGTTCGTTGGATGAACGAGTCTTTGGAAAGAAATGTTCTGCAGGACTCCAAAGTGACCACGAAGTGGTGCGAAGCCACAACTTCGATATAACAACTCGACGGGTTAATCTCGCGTGGACTGCCAAAAGGGAGGTACAATTGTTGATATTTCAGAAGAGCATCGTCCATAAAAATATCTATGAAGTAGAGCCAGATCGTCAACTTTCCTACGGTGTTCCAGAGAAGTGAGTGAGTTTGTGAGCGAGGCATCACCCACGAGACGAAGTGCCCTTTTTTGGACAGACTCCAACAGTTCCAGGGTATGTTTTGGTGCTGCACTCCAAATATGGGAACAGTATTCCAGGACAGATTGGATCTGTACTTCATAGGTCATAAGCAGCTGACTTGAAGTGAAATAGCTCCTGGCCCGAAACAGAAAACCATCAAGTTTTCAGGATGCACTTTTCGCAATTGATCTTAGGTGATTTTCCCAAGAAAGATTATTGCTGATAGTAATACCAAGCATCGACATGGATGTCTTCAAAGGTATGGTTAGTCCTGACATGCTTATGTTTGGCACAGTGAGATCGGCTTTTCTAGAGAAAAGGCATGCTTGTATTTTGTTTGCATTGAAATCTACCAAGTTAGTGGATCCCCATTCGAGAATTATTGCCAAGTCCATATTGATGTTGTCAACATTTCTCCCTCGTTCAGAGAAAGGTGTTCCGAAAATAAAGTGCAGAGCTATGCGGAAAATGTAAAGTTAGTATAAACTCCCTAAGGAGAAAATATGTCAAATTATCTCCCTAGGGAATAATACGAGACTTATGCCCCTCTTTTGTTACCAGAGTAACTAACTAACTTCTACTCCCGCCAGCGTAAAAAATACTATTTTCTCGGTATACCTTTGTAGCCTTCGTGGTAGTGGTGGTCGGTTTCGCCGTGGTAGGCCTCCGTGGGGGCAAATACCCCGGACCCCGGTACGGCCTCTTGACGGGGTTGTCCGGGGGAAATCCGGGGTTCAGGTCGAAGGGCCGGGGCCGGAAATAAGAGGGCCGCCTCTCTGGAGACGTGGCGAACACGGGGATCACGTAGGCCGGTTGGTACATCTGCTGTTGCCAGGTGGGGTAGTTGTCGTAGCTGCAAAGGAAAAAACCTCATGACGAATTTTTGTGACGGTTCGGTAGCTCGGTTATAGCCTCAAACAAATCATTTATCTTCCACTAGCAGACCTCACAAACGTTGTTTTGCTATATACAGGGTGTTTCATTGGGAAAGGTAAATAAATCAACTGTGGATGGGGGTCACTGGGGTGATTTGAAAAAACCCATGGTTAATGGTCTTCGACTTCTTGTAACCGAGATACAGGATGTTTCATCAATTTTGTCCATATCTTCATTGTCTCATAACTTTCCAACCAACCTGTATATATTTTTAAAAATTTGTACACTTGCTCAATCTACCCTGTGGAATTGATTGAGGCAGCAACAAAAGATGAAATCCAGGTCCGGCTTCACTTAAAATTAAAAAATTCTTTCTGCCAGAAAACAACACCCTATACATTCGAATTTCTTATTTTTTTGCCATGTCTGAAAAGAACATTAGATTTTCTATTCAACGATGTGCTTTTTATTCGTGCACAGACGATTTTAACTATACATATTATGTGCTCAAAATATTATTTTTGCTCATTTTGGGGTACAAAATTGGAATCAGACGAGATTTATTTATTTTTTTTACTTCCTATTCGGTATAGGTACGTGAGTATTACATTTAGAAGGAGTATTCCATATCGTTCTTTGTTCCAGACTTAGTTGCAGGTCCGTCATCAAAACGATACAGGGCTTTTCACGATGAGCGTTAATTTGACGTTTTCGGCAAACCAGGCAACGGAAAAATCTGAAATTTCGATGGTATGTATAAATTAACATAATCTAAACTACTGAAATATTTGAAATGATCCGGCCTTGGCGCTTCTACTAGAAAGTAGCAGCAACTTCGATTTTTCAAATGGGACACCCTGTATTTTATTACATTCTTGGATTCTTGCTGAACAGCAGAATTCATCGATTCAAAACATTCAAGGTCTAGCGGGACTGATAACTGAGATATAGGATGTGGAAAATCGAGATGTTTCAACTTTAGAAATGTTTTGTGTTGAAACTATTTATTATTATTTTGTGTATTTTGTGTTGAGACTATTTATCAATGCAAAACGGCTTCAATGTCCCTATCTCAACTTTCCATTCGATATTAAATTGAAACAGATACAGGGTGGTGCAGAAATCTGAATTATGAACCATCCTATATTTGTTTCGATTAAATGTCAATAGATACAAAGTTAAGATAGGGACATGAAAGCCGTTTTGATCAATAATAAATATTTTCGCAAAATGATTCTAAAGTTGAAACATCTCGATTTTTCTCACTCTAAATATCTCAGTTATTAGTCCCACTAGACCCCGCACTTTGTGAATCGATTAAATTAGCTCTTCAAGAAGCATCAAGGGTGTCCCATTTGAAAAATCAAAGTAACTGCTACTTTCGAGTAGAAGCGGCAACGCCGGATTGTTTCGAATACTCCAGACGTGTAGATCATGTTAATTTATACATACCTACCTTCGAATTTTTAGATTTATCCGTTGCCTGGTTTGCCAGAAACATCTAATTAACGCTTATCGTATGAAAAGGCCTGTATATTTTTGATAACGGACCTGCAACTAAGTCTGGAACAAAGAACGATATGAAATACTCCTGCTAAATGTAATACTCACGTATACTGAATAGGAAGTATTAAAATTGATAAATCTCGTCTGATTCCAATTTTGTACCCCAAAATGAGCAAAAATAATATTTTGAGCACATAATATGAATAGTTAAAATCGTCTGTGCACGAATAAAAAGCACATCATTGAATAGAAATTTTGATGTTTTTTTCAGATATGGCAAAAAAAATTAGAAATTCGAATGTATAGGGTGTTGTTTTCTGGCAGAAAGAATTTGTGAATTTTAAGTGAAGCCGGACCTGGATTTTATCTTTTGTTGTTGCCTCAATCAATTCCACAGGGTAGATTGAGCAAGTGTACAAATTTTTAAAAATATATGCAGGTTGGTTGGAAAGTTATGAGACAATGAAGATATGGACAAAATTGATGAAACATCCTGTATCTCGGTTATAAGAAGTCGAAGACCCATCAACCATGGGTTTTTTGAAATCACCTCAGTGACCCCTATCCACAGTTGAATTATTTACCTTTCCCAATGAAACACCCTGTATAGTATTTCTATAATATATTTCTTCATAGTTAATATTCATCAAGACACTATTCTTATTTTTTTTTCTACTTCTGTTTAGTTCCGCTATCTATAAAAGTGTGTTTCATAAGCTTTTCAAATTATCATGTATTCCTTCTTTTTTAATTAACTTCTTTCCCAATTTTGACGAAAGAATCATAATATTCGCCTCCTACAACCCCAGATGAAAATTTTGCATAGAATCGGAACATAAATACAAAACTTGTTCGCAATATTGGATCTACCATCTTGAATTCCCTAATTTTGACGAATGAATCATAATTTTTGATCCCGAAAACGCCCACTCCCGAATTTTGAATAGAATTGGTATAGAATTTTAAAACTCGTCCGGTAGGTAAATTGATTCCACCGTCTCGAATTTCCAAATCCCCTTTCCAAATGTTGACAGAAGAATCAATATCTCCGAAAACACCCAGATAATATTTTTGAAGAGAGTCGGATCATAAGTACAATACTCGTCCGTCATATTGGGTCCGTCATCTTGAATTTCCTAATTTTGACGAAAGAATCATAATCTCCGACCGCGAGAACCACCAGCCCAATCAGCACCAGACATCTTAAAGACGTACATTTTACGACTTACTTACGTCTTTACGTCCAGGGACGTATAAAGTACGTCTATAAGATGTAAATCTATGTACATCTTAAAGACGTACACGAATTTACGTCTTTAAGACGTACATTTTAGGTCGTATCCACGTCGTTCCTCCCATGTCGTATGAAAGACGTCTTAAAGACGTACATTCCAGTACGTCAATTCGACTTATAGAACAATAATGTAAGTTATTTTCTGAAGAAAAACAAAATGTCATCTCTTCACGTTTTTTATTTTCAATTGTTCAGTTTTTTCTAATTTTCAACATAAGTGATGTTTTTGAATTTTTTCGTCCGACATTTTGGAGCCTTCGTGTTAGATTCTCGAATTTTTACAAAAAAATCATATTCTCCGACCCCAAAAGTCCCATAGTAATCAATTTTGAATAAAATCGGACTATAATCACAAAACTCGTCCGCCATTTTGAATCCGATATCTTGGATTTTTCATTTTCGACAAAAGGAATTATAATCACTGATCCCGAAATCCTTCAGATGCCAAGTTTGAATCAGATCAGACCATAATCAGAAAACCATATGCCACATTGGATTCACCATCTTGAATATTGAATTTTGATTCGAATCGGAACATAATCAATGAGAAAATCGTCCGCCATATTGGATCCGTCATTCTGTTTTTTCCATTCAATAATAATATCACAACAAATTGTCACCGGAATAATATTTACTTGCCAAATTTCAAATCAATCGGACGATTTAAAGTGAGTCAAATTTAACATGCACGTTTTGATTACAAACAGACACAAGGACATGTTAAACTAAGTAAAAGCTTGTTATGTGATATATAGAACGAACAGAGTAATAGAAAAAGTGAATATGGTATAATCATCGAAGTCAAGCAACAAAGAGCGCGGTTAGTACTTGAATGGGTGACCGCTTGTGTCTACCGTTTGATGAAGTCGTTTATTTCCCTTTTCTTTTGCTTGTCTGCACTTGTTGCTAACTTCAGTGCACAGGTGAAAATCAACTGAAACTATGTGATTTTTCCGTAATTTGAAAGATCAATTTGAGGTCATGAACCAAAAACACCTAAAACAGACGTCTTGTAGACGTACATATTAGTGGAAAATGTACGTTTTAAAGACGTCTTAAAGACGTCTCTTGGGCGTTATATGTACGTCTTTGAGACGTACTTATGTCCCGACATGTACGTCTCAAAGACGCCTTTAAGACGTACTTTGGCTGATTGGGAGAGACACCAAAATTGAATAAAATCGGATCCTATCCACAAAATCTGCTATTTTGGATCCGCCGTCTTGAATTTCCTAATTTTGACGAAGGAATCATAACCCCTGATCACGAAAACCCCTAGGTACCAATTTTGAAAAGAATCCGATTATAATTACAAAACTCGTCCGCCACATTGGTTCCACCATCTTGAATTTCGAAATTCTGCCCGAATTTCCAAATTTTGATGAAAGAATCATAACCTCCGACCCCGAAAACCCCCAGACACCAATTTTGAATAGAATCGTACCATAACTACAAAACTCGTGACTCGTCCGATATATTAGATCCGTCATCTTGAATTTCCTGATGGTACCGGGATAAAAAGTATCCTATAACCTCCTCCTGGTTCTAAGCTACCTCTCCACCAATTTTCAGCCAAATCGATCTAGTAGTTTCGGAGCCTATTCAATACATACATACAAACAAATCATTAAAACTTTCCTCTTTATAATATTAGTATAGATATAACAGGCAACATTTTTTTTTATGTTCTGGTTCCCACGAAAAGGGATATCCTGTAATGTTCAGAGAACATCGTGAGAACCAAGGAAAATGAGGTAGGGATTGGTGTTCTTCTTAAATTTCTGGAGGTTATATGCCTCAAGGAACACCTCCCTTGGCAATGTGTATAGGAATAGTCAAAGATACTAAAAAACTAAAAAACTTGCAAACAGAAAAACTAAAAAACTTACAAGCTGAAAACCTAGGATTCCTAGGAAACTTACGAACTAATAAGTTTATATAACAAATAGGAATAATACGTACACAGAAACTCGTTCACAGTATAAAGAAAGTGAGTGTTTTTTCCCGGATATTATAAACACTGTTGATGGCTTTTGTTGCACTAGTTACGAAAAATAAGCCAATAATAACTGTCTCCGAAAACGAACTGTAAGTAATTCTATCTTACTTACACAGAATTAGACTGGCAGATATTTGATTACTCCAGAAGAATGATGAAGATGCCTGCAAAAAGATTCCTGCAACGCAAGTGTAATTCTTGTTGAAAACTTCAAATTTCGCGTCGATCATTTTTTGTTTTTAATATAATGTGATAACTTGTCAATATTGATTCGTCCTCTTTCCTGTCACAGAAAAAAATAGTGTATTATACACGGGAAAAATTTTGAATTTCTGCTCACAACTCGGCTAAAATCTACGACTTTTTCTCCTTGCATAATAAATAATTATAACTTCTTCATTTTCTTTGATATATTTCGAAATTGTCATCAAAATTATTATATTTCGCTTTCTCCTTAAATAATGTTCGTGAATGCGATAGTCAAACTATCTCTCTCTCTAAGCAATATACCAATGCCTATACCATAGGACAAGATCCACAGTTGAGTTTGCAAACCTTCCTAACGTCTTAATATTCGTTTCATGTGAGCAACTCTCCAGTATACGAAAGCGTAGAGGGCTCACGTTGAAACTGTCTAAATAGACAGTTGTAACTGTCTAAATAGACAGTTGTAACCCGTCTAATTAGACAGTTGTAACTGTCTAAATGAACAGTTGTAACTGTCTGAATTGAAATTTGTAACTGTCCAAATATATATCCTAATTCGTACTGTCCTGTCCTGTCCTGTCCTGTCCATTGAATAGTGACTACTGACTCCCCTGTCCTCTGTCCTACCTACAATAACAGTACAACATAGGAAACATAAAAACACGTGCTAATAACTAATTAACTAATACGAGCTGTGTGTATTGCGTGTATAACGATTGTGGTAGTTTTTCTATAGTAAAAGTAAAATGGATGATGGTTTAATTAGATTTTATTTCTGTTTGGGTTTCCAACCAAAAGAAATTTTGTTTGGCATTCAATCATGATATCATCATTAGTTTAAGCACTTCCAAACAAAAATTACACAAATTGGGATTGTTCAGAAGAAAGAATTTTACGGACATTCTAGAAATTCAACAATTCATTACAAATCATACAAAAACTCATGGACAATTACATGGATACCGATGGATGCAACTTAAATGCCTTCAGAATAATTTAGTAGTTACACAAGACATATGGTTCGTCTTCTGATCCATATTATTGATCCCGTTGGTGATCCCAATCTGACCAATCCAGTGCAAAACTAGGAAATTTTGGAAACTGAATGAATAATTATGAAAACACGAATACAAACTATTCTACAATATGACGATTTCGTACGTTTGCAACGTACATGCTTTCATCACCCGTTATTCCAATAGAATGGTTATCCAAATTATTCCAAGTTCCTCTTTTTTAAATAATAGACAGTTGCAAGTGTTTATTCAGACAGTTATAACTGTCTATTTAAACAGTTACAACTGTATTCAGACAGTTACCACTGTCTATTTGAAAAAATACCTAACGTAGAAATTCCAGCTTATTCTTCTGTTGACGAACTCACCCCTCATACCGATCGCTCCGCACCATCCACGGCGAATACCCCCTCTTCCTTCTCTCCCCTCTGGCCCAAGCGTGTCGCCGACGGTCCGTCGCTCTGTCCGCTCTATCGGCTCCATCGGCTCTATCCGCTCTATCAGCTCCGCGGGCTCTATCGGCTCCGCGCGCTCCGTTCGCTGAGCTCGGCACGTTCCGGTATGGATCGGCCGGCCGAGGCGAAGTGACTCTGTCCGCTTCGTCGGCTCTATCGGCCTCGTGCGCTCTGTCGGCTCCGTCCGCCGAGCTCGGCACGTTCCGGTAACGGTCGGCCGGCCGAGGCGAGGCGACGGTGCACAGAGTGGCCAGCGCCAGCGCTGCCAACGTCAACTGCTCGGGTTTCATTCTGTAACGAGACGGTGTCGATTATACAGGGTAATAGTAATAGTACAATATACACATACACCTCTGGACAGAATGCTATTTAGTCCTCGGTGCTTTGTATCTCTCGGGCTTTGCCCTCGAGCTACAAATCGCACCTTAGAAAAAATCTTGCATTTCTGTCCCTCGATGTATAATGCACTATGAAATTATTGTCACATTGTTATATGTATCTGAACATTATATTATTCTGTCTTCTCGTGGAATCAAAAATACAAAAAAATCTTTGAGGCGCGATATTATTTATAAAACTTAGTATGTGCTACTGCCAATGTCAGGATATCAGGAGAATCTCTATATATGGTGTCCCAGAATAACATTCGTATACTCCGAGAAGTGATTCTGCAGATGGAAATGAGAAGAAATCAACATGTGTCCGAAAATTATTCCTAAGGGCTAGAGCCTCTTGAAGGTAGGTCGTTGAATGCACTTTTCTTCAACATTCGTTGTTTTCATTGATGAGTTTATCTGTATATCATGGATCTGTGAGTTTTCAAGTTCTTTATTTATGGTTATACTGGCTGAGTTAATTTCCTTTGGGTCGAAGGAGAATTGAAGTTGAGTATAATCTGCATATTGGTGAACTTTATACAATTAAATATTCCGTTACTGATATGACATGCATATATAAAAAAAAGTAACGGGCCAAGAATTGATCCTTACGGAACACCTCTATTTATATCAGACATCCTAGATCTACCAACTACTGTTTCCACATATTGCTTTCTATCGGACAAATAATTTCCGATTTTTCTGTTTCTCTTTCACTTCAAGTAATGCAGTAGTAGTACTATCAATGATAGGCAATACGGCTTTCGCCACCGAAGATCTACTGGAGATCTACTTGCCTACGTCACCCATTTATGGCAAGCTTCATTAGAGAAACACGGGGAGTCTCTAGCTGTCGCGTTGGACATATCGAACGCATTTGACCGTGTTTGGCACGAAGGACTCCTCCACAAACTACCATCATACGGCTTACCACCTCAACTATGCCACCTCTTATCGAGTTTTCTTTCAGGCAGATCGCTCCATGTGGTGGTGGAGGTGTATCGTCTGATACCATTGGCATCAATTCCGGGGTTCCACAAGGATCAATATTGGCACCAACATTATTCCTTCTTCATATCAATGATCTGTTGGGAGTAACAACTTGCCCCATCCACAGCTTTGCAGATGATAGTACCCTCCATACTGCGTTCTCTTCCAGAATTCCCATTTCTTGCCAGGAAACTAAGAACTCACGGCGCAGGCAGGTCAATGCTGTCAATGAAGACCTTGCTGAAATCACAGCCTGGGGAACCAACAACCTAGTTGAATTCAACGCCACCAAAACTCAAGCCTGTATTTTCTCTATAAAGGCGGAACTCAGTATGCCCGACATTGTAATGTCTGGCACGACCATCCCCACCAAGCCCACCATATCTACGCTCGGTATTTCCATCAGCATCACTCTTTCATGGGATAATCATGTCAGATCCATCGCAAAAGCTGCTTCACAAAAACTCGGATTCTTGTTCCGTGCGAAAAGCTACTTTACGCACCTCAACAGCTTCTCATGATCTACAAAGCGCAGATACGGCATGTTCTAGAATACTGTTCCCAGCACCGAAACATACGCTGACGCTCTTAGATTCCATCCAGAGGAGAGCCATTCGCCTGGTGGGTGACGTCACACTCACTCACTCTTTGACATCATTGGAACACCGTAGAAAGGTCGGCGACCTTTCACTTTTCTATCGATACTTCCACGTGAAATGTTCTTCGGAAATCTCTGCTACCATCCCTTCACTAGCAATACCAGTCAGACGAACTAGACAAGCCCAGTCAGCACATTCTTTCGTTGTCAACCTCGAAAGGTGTCGAACAGCACTTTATCAAAGCTCCTTCATCCATAGAACGGCTAGGCTCTGGAATTCATTGCCTGAGGAAGTATTCCGAACAACATATAACCTCCAGAAGTTCAAAAAAAATTCCAATACCCACCTCCTATCCCTATCCTCCCTAGGAACGCACGATGTTCTTTGAACATTATAGGGATTCCCTTTCGTGCGCTCCAAGCGATAAAAAAAATACCCAGCACGAAAACCCGATTGATGATTAGGAGGCATATTAAAACTATTCAAATGTTGTTCAATTTGATTATTGATGTTATATTGAATTATATATTAAATAAAATAATTAGGCAGGTAATGAAACAAAACATTTCTAGTTGCACCCTGCTTCAAATTGAATTTAATGAGATAACTTGCAAACTCAACGGAATATCAAAAGTAGTCATCCACCTAATTCAATTTTCCAGAATTATTGTAATGGTGATATTTTCGGCGTAATTGTATCTAATGATGAAATACTGAATTGCCTACATATGGAACGCCGGATATTTCGCACAAACAAAACTAAAAATACTTTGGAGTTCATATTGCAGAACGAATTATATAATTGATAAAATTTCAGCCATTAAATAATGCTGATGATGAAATATTCGGCTGCATTATTTTAATTACCTATATTAGAATCATAGATATCATGATAAATTTATATTTTCATATTAAATTTCAGAGTGTGGATTCCATACAACAAATAACCAGAAATTGTTTCAATGATCTACAGTATCTACACTCATAATGAGCCAATTACAGATTTAGATGCAGATGAATTTTGCACAATACAAATTGTTTTGTTGTAGCTAAATTTGCTGTGCTGTGATTAACCTTCATTAGCCTTGTTTTTTATTGCCAAATTCGTCAGCAATAGTATTTAACCTCCTAAAACAAAGTAATCCCAATTGGTTTCAATCTGAAAATGGTACATTCTATCAGTGTGTTAATTCTCAAAGGATTATGTAAATTGATCCACTTGAGAAGAACTTCACGAGAATTGATGAACAATAGGTTAAAAATAGGTACACAAGGTGTCCAAGAATAACGTTCGTTCCGAGAGGTAATTCTGCAGATATGATTAAAAAAACATGTCCTATTAACACGTGTCCGGAAATGCTACAGCCTTTTCAAGATAATGTCTATAAACTACGCAACAATAATTCCGTCGCACCCCAAAATTTCGTGATGAGCTGGGAAACTCGTAACCGATGCTATGTATCAAAATGCCCCAATTATTTTTTCATGATTTATTCCATTTTCATTACCAGAATATAATTCCTCAAACACTTTCACATAAAAAGTGTCATATTCCATTTCAATATCCAATGAAATTCACATCCCCTTGTATACAGTGTGTCCCTAGACCAGTGGGACAGTTGAATATCTCCTGAACCAATAGGAATTTTCAAAATATTATAATTCCACATCATATCGCATCATGAGTGCTAACTTCAGGAATGACTGAATTTTATACGAGGGGCGCAAGAAAGGCTCACAAAATCGAACATCATTTTTTTCAAATGGAACACCCCATATATTTCAACATATCTGAATTCTCATCCCTCTAGGCTGCCAAGTTATATACCAGTATTTCATGGAATGCAGACATTTTTTTTACAGACAAACCCATTATTCATACTACTAAGAATTTATGGAATCACCCAAGACTGTTGGTAGTCGGTGGCATATTCTATCATATTAAATACTCATCTTCTTCGAAAGTTATACAGGGTGGTCAGGAATATTATATGATTTTCACGAAATTCAAACTTTCTTCACATCAATTTTTCAAATAGTGCACCCTACAATATGTATGATTTTATATCCCATTGGTGGTTTGAGGGCTTATGGTCAATAGTTGTGAAAGAGAGATGTGAATTTCATCATCAGCAAATGCAAATAAAACAAATGCAGTAAACTATTTATTCAACTCTGAGAAGATGGTTTGTAGGGACTCTTACGTAGTTAATTACACTAGAATACGTAGTTTGATGATTTTGTTTTGTATTTGCTGATGATGAAATTCACATATCTCTTTCACAACTATTGTTGTTTGAATTTCGTGAAAATCATATAATATTTCTGACCACCCTGTATAACTTCCGAAGAAGATGAGTATTTCATAAAATAGAATATGCTACCGACTACCAACAGTCTCGAATGGTTCCATAAATTCTTAGTAGTATGAATGATGGGTTTGTCTAAAAAAATGTCTGCATTTCATGAAACACTAGTATAACTTGGCAACGCCTTGTCGGATTTTCAAAAATAAAAAACTGATAATTAGCCTAGAGGGATGAGAATTCAGATATGTTGAAATATATGGGGTGTTCCATTTGAAAAAATTGATGTTCGATTTTGTGAGCCTTTGTTGCGCCCCTCGTATAAATTTTAGTCATCCCTGAAGTTAGCACTCATGATGCGATATGATGTGGAATTATAATATTTTGAAAATTCCTATTGGTTCAGGAGATATTCAACTGTCCCACTGGTCTAGGGACACACTCTGTATATAATCAAATTTTTCCATACCACTAAACGATTTGTTAGATGAAATTACCATCATAGGTATAGGTACAGAATTTCGTTATTTTAGGATAACTTATATATTGGCTTTGTGTTCATGTTTGTGATTTACAATTCGAAAAAGTTTTGCAGTTTCCAATGCATATATTTTTTATGTTCAAATGAATTTGAATGAATAAGCACATGCATTCCACTAGCGAATTACCTACCTTTTTTTTTCTTTCAATAGCCTATTTTATTTTTTTCAAATTATTCAAGCAAATTTAGAATGCTCATTGATATTCCAAAGGCTAGGCATAATATGATTGATTACATCAATAACTGATATTTCATAGAGGATACTGAGGAGCATGATGATTATTCCATCACACACAAAATATAGAATCTCCTTTCCATTTATATCAGTCGTTTTTATCTTAAGATCGTGCAGAAATTACATTGCAATTTTTTCTATTGTGATTGCCATCATGTTCATTAAAATCCCAACAACTGAAAGTAACGCAAAAGAAGACAGTATGATGTGGTTAATACACGTCATACGTCATTATTGTATAGT